GAATTTACTGTTCAAAATATCGAATTTACTCTTCAAAACTTGGAATTTACTCTTCAAACTTAGAATTTTCTCTTCAAATATTAGAATTTACTCTTCGAAACATAATTTACTCTTCAAAACTTAGAATTTACTCTTCAAAATATCGAATTTACTCTTCAAATCTTTGGAATTTACTCTTCAAACTTAGAATTTTCTCTTCAAATATTAGAATTTACTCTTCGAAACATAGAATTTACTCTTCAAAACTTAGAATTTACTCTTCAAAATATCGAATTTACTCTTCAAATCTTGGAATTTACTCTTCAAACTTAGAATTTTCTCTTCAAATCTTAGAATTTACTCTCTTCGAAACATAGAATTTACTCTTCAAAACTTAGAATTTACTCTTCAAAACATCGAATTTACTCTTCAAATCTTGGAATTTACTCTTCAAACTTCGAATTTTCTCTTCAAATCTTAGAATTTACTCTTCGAACCATAGAATTTACTCTTCAAAACTTAGAATTTACTCTTCAAAACATCGAATTTACTTTTCAAATCTTGAAATTTACTCTTCAAACTTAGAATTTTCTCTTCAAATCTTAGAATTTACTCTTCGAAACATCGAATTTACTCTTCAAAACTTAGAATTTACTCTTCAAAACATCGAATTTACTCTTCAAACTTCGAATTTTCTCTTCAAATCTTAAAATTTACTCTTCAAACTTCGAATTTTCTCTTCAAATCTTAGAATTTACTCTTCGAAACGTAGAATTTACTCTTCAAAACTTAGAATTTACCCTTCAAAACATCGAATTTACTCTTCAAATCTTGGAATTTACTCTTCAAACTTCGAATTTTCATTTCAAATCTTAGAATTTACTCTTCAAAACATCGAATTTACTCTTCAAATCTTGGAATTTACTGTTCAAACTTCGAATTTTCTCTTCAAAACATCGAATTTACTCTTCGAAACATAGAATTTACTCTTCAAAACTTAGAATTTACTCTTCAAAACATCGAATTTACGCTTCAAATCTTGGAATATACTCTTCAAACTTCCAATTTTCTCTTCAAATCTTAGAATTTACTCTTCGAAACATAGAATTTACTCTTCAAAACTTAGAATTTACTCTTCAAAACATCGAATTTACTCTTCAAATCTTGGAATTTACTCTTCAAACTTCGAATTTTCTCTTCAAATCTTAGAATTTACTCTTCGAAACATAGAATTTACTCTTCAAAACTTAGAATTTACTCTTCAAAAGATCGAATTTACTCTTCAAATCTTGGAATTTACTCTTCAAACTTAGAATTTTCTCTTCAAATCTTAGAATTTACTCTTCGAAACATAGAATTTACTCTTCAAAACTTAGAATTTACTCTTCAAAACATCGAATTTACTTTTCAAATCTTGGAATTTACTCTTCAAACTTCGAATTTTCTCTTCAAATCTTAGAATTTACTCTTCGAAATATACAATTTACTCTTCAAAACTTAGAATTTACTCTTCAAAACTTAGAATTTACTCTTCAAAACATCGAATTTACTCTTCAAACTTAGAATTTTCTCTTCAAATCTTAGAATTTACTCTTCAAACTTCGAATTTTCTCTTCAAATCTTAGAATTTACTCTTCGAAACGTAGAATTTACTCTTCAAAACTTAGAATTTACCCTTCAAAACATCGAATTTACTCTTCAAATCTTGGAATTTACTCTTCAAACTTAGAATTTTCTCTTCAAATATTAGAATTTACTCTTCGAAACATAGAATTTACTCCTCAAAACTTAGAATTTACCCTTCAAAATATCGCATTTACTCTTCAAATCTTGGGATTTACTCTTCAAACTTAGAATTTTCTCTTCAAATATTAGAATTTACTCTTCGAAACATAGAATTTACTCCTCAAAACTTAGAATTTACACTTCAAAATATCGAATTTACTCCTCAAATCTTGGAATTTACTCTTCAAACTTAGATTTTTCTCTTCAAATATTAGAATTTACTCTTCGAAACATAGAATTTACTCTTCAAAACTTAGAATTTACTCTTCAAAATATCGAATTTACTCTTCAAATCTTGGAATTTACTCTTCAAACTTAGAATTTTCTCTTCAAAACTTAGAATTTACTCTTCAAAATATCGAATTTACTCTTCAGATCTTGGAATTTACTCTTCAAACTTAGAATTTTCTCTTCAAATCTTGGAATTTACTCTTCAAACTTAGAATTTTCTCTTCAAAACTTAGAATACACTCTTCAAAATATCGAATTTACTCTTCAAAACTTGGAATTTACTCTTCAAACTTAGAATTTTCTCTTCAAATAGTAGAATTTACTCTTTGAAACATAGAATTTACTCTTCAAAACTTAGAATTTACTCTTCAAAATATCGAATTTACTCTTCAAATCTTGGAATTTACTCTTCAAACTTAGAATTTTCTCTTCAAAACTTAGAATTTACTCTTCAAAATATCGAATTTACTCTTCAAATCTTGGAATTTACTCTTCAAACTTAGAATTTTCTCTTCAAAACTTACAATTTACTCTTCACGCCTGGCATTTTTGCACGCGAAATTGCACATTAAAATGTGTCAGTTTTTTTCGTTGCCGCGCGACAATTCTGGGAGCTTGGTAGCGAATTTGATAATTGAAAAATTCCTCAAATTCCGCGAGCGCGTGCTTGTGCGCGTTTTCCTTGAGGGTTATTTAAGGTAAACAGGGAAACAGAGCGTGTCTCGGGGATCAAAATGATATCAAGATTACCATGGTTACGCGGAATGTTTTGCTGCAGGAGCGCTTGTTGTTCGGGGCATTTGAGGGAAATGGCGACTTTCGCATCATGTTGTCAAAATGCAACAACTTCGGCTTGTATAGGATTCTTTCTACAGTGTTATTTTCATTTTGTTTTTGAATCCAATACAAGTCAAGATACCTATTAAAAATCGTATGTTTTTTGTTTTTGACAAAATGTGCTAGAAAAGATAATATTATACCTTTTACAAAGGCATGCACGCAATAAAATATTCGATGTTGGAAAGTATATGCGAAAGACACAGTTAGGCTGTTGGCAGTTGAAGAGGAGAACAAAAATGCAATATATACAGCTCAGGAGCTTAAGCGATTAGATTCCAAGGTAAGAAAGGTTTTACATATCTCTTGTATTTTTTGTAATCGAGTTTCTGATTTATCATGGTCTTTTATTCAATATATATCTTCATATTATGAACTGAGCCCATCTTGATCGTGCTATACACTGGTTTATTCTTGTCATGATGATAAATTTATATTCGCGCACAATTTTTGTCTACCACAGTACTTATTGAACTTGAAGCTCACAATTGGGTTGGCTTTAAATAGTATACAGTTTATAGTTTAATAATTAAAAATAGATATGCTATAAGTGATATAAAACAAACTATTATCTAGTCTAATGGGTTAGCATATTTGCAAAATTGTAAAGCACCTTAACACTTAGAAGTGTTAAAGTGCTTTACAATTTTGCAAATATGCTAACCCATTAGACTAGATAATAGTTTGTTTTAAAAGTGTTAAGGTGCTTTACAATTTTGCAAATATGCTAACCCATTAGACTAGATAATAGTTTGTTTTATATCACTTATAGCATATCTATTTTTAATTATTAAACTATAAACTGTATACTATTTAAAGCCAACCCAATTGTGAGCTTCAAGTTCAATAAGTACTGTGGTAGACAAAATTAATAAACTCCCAGAAAGTAGCATGGTATATGAAAGGTACATCCCGACTGCTAGTTGCTCACACACTTTGAATATTATTGTGTCCTCTGGCTGGAATCGCCCCTGCGGCCCTGCAATACTGGTGCAATTGCAGCATTCTAACCAACAAAACTGAGCTACAGAGTCCAGTTGTCAAGCTGGAATTCATGTGTGTATACTTGGGTACTGCTGTGTTAGTATCGCTAAATACCAAAATCGAAACCTATAACCTTTAAAACATATTAATATTTACTGATACATTGACAAGGCAGTAACCAGTATATATACTTGTGGTTAGAGCTCGACATTTGGACTCTGTACTGTAGCTCAGTTGTTTAGGGCACTAGGCCTATATATTATTCTAAGAGATTCTGTTGGCATCCCACTGATTATAATAGTTGAAGGGTCTTGGACATGGAAATTGTCGAGTGGAAATTTATAGACAATTATTATTCCAAAACAAGGAACAGCTGTGAAAAAAAGCAACTGTAGGTCCCTGGCCGGAATTAGACCTGCGACTCCAGTGCAGCACTCTAACTGACAGAGGCCAGTTGTCGAGCTCTCTTATGGGTTAGGGTCATGGCAGTACCTTTTTAGTATGATATATGTATATATAGTACCTTAATTAGTGTATATGTAATATACAGTAATGCATGAACAGGCCTTAGTCCAGCACTGCAGCGTGGCTGCAGGTTCAATTCCTGCCAGTGACCTATAGTTGCTTTTCTCACAGTTATTCCTGATTAGATCTAATAAATGTTTATAAAGTTCCACTCAATAATTTTGATGTAAAAGTCTAAGACCTCTCACATATCAATCTAACTAAATAATGATTAAACCTACCTTAATTTTAATTTTCTTTTCCTACAGCTAATGATTTAGATTCAAAAATTCAATAGCAAGGACGAAAGTGGTTTTAATAGCAAACAACCAAGAAATGTTCATGTGACAAGAGCAGCAAATTGTAGCCAGTCTAACAGTAACTGTTTAACGTGCACAGTCTGTCGATCCTGGTGATCATGAGGATTTATCTCAATTGGCAAAATTAATCTACAAATAGTTTTAGTCACAAAACACAGGAGTTTAAAGATTCCCAGTAAAGTGCTAAGTGTATTTATTATGCCACACACAGTGCATGGTAGTAACATAGAACTATCTTCATTTGAAGCTTTGTTTGGTAGCAGGGGCAAAACTACCCCCCTTTTAATTTGGGGGTGTCTGCCAGAATTGCCCTGCCCAAACCGATGATGCCCTGCAGCAAATTTTCATTTCTGGCCACTGTTTCCCCCAAAATGCTGGCGAACAGAGGTGGGTGGGTGGGGAGGGGGTGGAAAATTTTTCTGCCCCCCCCCAAACACCCCCCCCCAACTCAAATTTCGCCCCTGTTTGGTAGGGATGCAACTACCTGAAAAATACAAGGACAATGTTTCGAGCGAAGGCCCTTCGTCGGGAAGTTTGTTGCGGGGTCTGGAAAATTACACGAGCTTTTATGATCATGTGACAAAAATTAAACCAATCAGATGCATTTGGTCATAACAAAGTATATACAAAAAATATTAATAACAATATAGAATATATTAATACAATTATACAGAAAACTACATATACATCTACAAATTAGCATATATCAACACTATGTTGTTATTATTTAAAGTTGCACCTCTCACTTTGTATAGATGTTCTTATTCTGGGTTAGATATATTATGCTAATTTGTATATAGTATTATTTTTACCTAACCATATCATAACCTATGTAAACCATTGTATTTCTTTAAAAAAAGCAAGATATCAATTGATGTCCACATCATTATATTTGTGTTGTATGCAATGATTTTTGCCTGCAGATTGATTGAGATAAGAAAATAAAAAGCTGAATGTGCAAATAATTACTTCTGGCAAATTGTATTGCTTTGAATCCCTTGTCTGTAGGTCAACAATAAATGCATGCAGTGCCAGTCAAATGGTCATGAAAGTGGACACCTTTTTCAAACAGATTTTTCTTCCCGTGTGAGTAAACCGTAGTACCCAGAGAAAACCTACAACAGTTGGTTCAGGGTTGACTCATTTCAAAATTCCAACACCAATATTGCAAACAGAAATTATATTTTTAACTTTCACTTCACTAAAATATTTGAGTTGTTTCCTTCGCTATCTGGGTATTTATAGAAAACCAGTCATCAGAGAAACATACTCTGACATCATGAAATGGACAACTATTTGGCAATTCCCATTACTTGTTGGTCATTGCCACAGTAACAGTATAAATACATGTAATAATGGTACATACATGCTGATAATTTTGGAGACATAGGTAGAAGTGATTTTGGTAGCAATGACCAGTTATGCATGGGCATTTTAAGAATTACCAATTATCTTAACAATGTTTTGATATGTTTGCAACAGCTGTGAAGAGTCATTGGGTATAAAGGGACCAAGGGTGACAATCCATCACAGAAAGGAAGGGATGGAGGCAGCCAATACACTATTTATCAGCTATTTAGCTCTTATAATAATTAATAATGTCATAATGTGAATGCCGAGAGAGTTTGAGAGAATACATCTTCACAACTGTTACAATATACCTGACTATACTTTAATGAATTATAATATTTCAGACATTACTAGCAAACATGCTGAGGAAATCCATTGACATTCCACTCTCCAATCCATATATACACTGTAGTTGAAAAACTTTGCCCAAAGTAGCCAGGCACAACATCCTTGGACAACCCAGATAATAAAGCAAATAACTCCTTGACAAAGCGCATTAAAGTAAAATAAATAACAATAGCCTTCTTGACATCACAGTGAAAACAAA